AAAAAAAAAATAAAAAAAAAGAGAAAAATGTTTGTACACCATATTAGATAAAGTTATAGTGAATCTTTTCTTAGCATGTTCGCATGGGATTCACATGTATCTGTTTTTTTTTTGTCTTTTCTCTATATATTGATCGTATCCCCTAGTTTTCATTTGTTTTTTTTTTTTCTTTTCATTCTTTTCATAAGAACTAATATGTGTGTACACGTTAGTTGTAGTGGTAAACGGGAACTGTTTCCTCAATGGCGTTTTTGGTGATGTCATGTAAACGATGAAGGGTATTCAAGTTCATATTGTGATCTCACTCTGTATATGATGTTCACCTTATGTTTTTTTGTTTTGTTTTATATTTATATATATATATGTTTCTTTCTTTCTTTCTTTATTTCATTTATGTGAATATTATAATTTCTATTCTCCCTTTCATATTAAATACCTGTTTTTTTTTTTTCTACTTTTGTAGTATCTTAATCCTTATTACTCTCATATATATATATATATATATATATATATATTTACCCAAGTAAATGTTGCTTTGTACAGAGACTGTTGTTATCTCTGTTTTCCTTATCCTTTTATTATATCTATGAACATAATATTTGTGAAACCCAATGCTGATATCTCTCTCTCTCTTTGGATTTGCAATATTCTTTCCAGAAGTGTTATCTTTTTTTTTTTCTTCTCTCTTCTTCCTCCTTTTTATATCTTCTTTGAAGCGCAATAGCGAAAATATAGAAAGAAAAAAAAAAGAAAGTATATATTTATATTATTAAACGTTCTTATTTGCAAAGAAGGTGGTAGCAGAACGCTCTTTATTATTTTATTTTAGTCTCAGTGTGCTTTCCAATCCAAGTCGCAAAGTTTAGCTATATCCCCCTTCTTCTTTATTATTATTATTATTATTAATCTTTACAGTGTGTGTGTGTAGGGGTATCCCTCTCTCTCTCTCTCTATATATATATATATATATATATATATATATCACACACACTGTGTAAGAGTGACATTATATTATTAACCCAATGCTGCGCCGCACTTTCTTCTCTCTCTGCAGTGTTCCTTCATCCATGCGATGGAAACCAATTCTCGATGTGGCCCATTTTGATGTTTGTGTGATTGGCGCCGGTCCGGCCGGTGTGTCCGCCGCCCTTCGCGCCGTGGATTACAAAAAGCGGGTTTGTCTTGTGGAGAAGAAACGCATTGGCGGCTGTGATCTCTGGAATGGGGCCCTGCAGTCGAAAGTAATGTGGGAGATGTCTAATTTCTTAGCAAAGGCCAACGGCAGTGCGGCCCAGCGAGTGTACAATACCACCATCTCGCAGTATATGGAATTAGATGAGGAACGCATGCGGGAAACTCTTATAAAGGCCAGCACTATGCGGGAAAAACAAATCCTCGCCGCCCTGGAGGCCGCTGGGGTAACGTTAATGTACGGACGTGCCTTCTTTGCAAGTCCACGGGAATTAGAAGTACGCAATCGTGATACCCGCGAGTACCGTACATTAACGGCGGATTATTTTATTATCGCCACAGGATCCACCCCGGTAGAACACCCATATGTAGCGGTAGACCACAAACGTGTAGTGACCTCAGATGATATTATGATGATGCCACTACCAAAGAGTATGGTGATTGTGGGAGCTGGAGTTCTCGGCAGTGAGTTTGCCGCCATCTACGCACGGCTTGGCACAACGAAAGTGTATCTTCTCGATAAGGAAGAGTGTATTATGCCAAAAGAGGATGATGATATAGTGGCAAAGATACAGGAAAGTATGGAAAAACATGGTGTGGTGATTCATCAGGATTCTATCTTGTATAATATGCAATCATGGGAGGAAAATGAAGAAGAAACCAGTGAGCATCCAGAAGATCCTACACCTCGCAGTGGTGTGCGGTACACTATTATGAATCGTAAGACTCGAGAACTCTGTACATATGAAGTGGAACGTGCTCTTATTGCCATTGGACGTCAACCATTCTATCATGGATTAGGTTTACAGAATGCCAAGTGTAAGGTGCGAGATGGGATACTCGTATTGGATGATTTCGGTATGTGTGAAGGACAGAATCATATCTATGCTATTGGTGATGCCGCTGGGGATTCTAAATTAGTGAGTGTGGGTGAGGCAAGAGGACAACTTGTTATTGATCGTATATATGGTGTACAGAGAGTTCATCCACTTCGACATGATTTCACACGACTTATATTTCTTACCATTGCGGTTGCTTCTGTTGGTATGAATGAAAAATTGTGTAGAAGTCAAAATTTATCCTACATTATGGCTAAATACAGTTTTGAACTTTGTAGTCGTACCATTGCTGCAGATAGTACCACAGGTTTTGTGAAGATACTTGCTACCAATGATTCCTCAAAGACCCTCTTGGGTGTACGGGTGGTAGGAACAAATGCCAGTACGATTATTGAACTCGCTTCAGCTGCCATTAAGAAGAAGCAATCTGCTTATGAGTTTAGTGAACTCGTAACAGCATACCCTTCTGTTTCTCAGGCTTTTCTAGAGTGTTTACGTGTTATTCTTGGCAGCTCTACATTAAAGCCAGGAACATTTCCTGGTCTTGTCTGTGAGACATGGACCCCATCAGGGTATGAGCGTGGTCGTGCCTACAAGGATTCCACAGATACATCTAAAGAGGAAGAAGAGGAAGAGGAGAATGATGAAGATGAGGATGAAGGGAATGTAGAGAGTACGAGGGAGAGGAATGCGCAGAAGGCATCTAATGCCTTTATGGAACGTGTAAAGCAGATGTCTACAGAGGAATTATATGAGGCAAAGAGAGTAACAGAGGCGATAGAAACTGCAGCTGTGGGAAAGTCAAATGTTGAATCGACATCATCTTCATCTAATCCTAATACTTCTACACCTACTACCACATCTTCTTCTTCTGCTTCTGTTTATCCTACTCCCGGATCCTTTTTCCATTGACGTTTCGTTGTGTTTCCCAATTATTTTTTTTTCTCTTCTTGTTGTTCTTGTTGTTATTATTATTATGAAGTGACAAAAGCAAATAACAACAAAAAAAAAGAGAGACAAGAAAGTCTAAGCTTTTGTTTATAATATTTTGATTTTGAGTACTTTTTTTTTCTTTTTTATTGCTATCTACGGGAACCTCATCCTATATCTTTTTTTCCTTTTTTTTTTCTGTTTTCTCCAGCTTAGTATAGTTTTAGAAAAAGAAAAAGGATAGTAATTACAAGTTTACCATTTTTCTGGCACATCATCAGTTTTTTTTTTTCTTCTTTTCTTCTTTCTTTCTTTTCAGTTTTTATTGTCGTAACCATTCTCTTTTCATTTATTTTGTTTTTCTTTCTCTCTCTGTGTGTGTATTCCTTTTCAGCTCCCTTCCACCTCCATCCTGAAAAAGCAAAAATACAAAAAACAAAAATGTTCTCCTTTGCACGAGTCTTGTACTCGCGTCCTATTAAGATAACACGTCTGGCTGCCAATATGCCTCACTTTGATGTTTGTGTGATTGGAGGTGGTCCTGCCGGTATTGCTGCCGCCCTGCGGGCTGTTGATTATAATAAACGTGTTTGTCTTGTAGAGGCGAAGCGTATGGGTGGAGCGGATTTGTGGAATGGGGCTTTGCAGTCCAAGACATTATGGGAAATGGCAAAGTATGTCTCACGACTCTCTGGACAGGCATCCCATCGTGTGTTTGAGGAAGATGTGGTGAAGGGATTAAAAGAGAAAGTAAATGATGTACGTATTCGGGAAACATTGGAGGAAGTTAGTAAAACACGTGAACGACAACTTTTGGATGGATTAAAGGCCGCTGGGGTAACACTGGTATATGGAAAAGGTATTTTCTCATCACCGCATGAGTTGGATGTTCACAGTACGAATACAGGTGAATATCATGTTTTAACAGCAGATTATTTTATTATCGCCACTGGATCTGTACCACGTAATCATGAGTATCTCGTGACTGATGGACGTCGTGTGGTAACAACAGATACAATTATGCAATTACCTATTCCATCAAGTCTAGTTATTATTGGTGCTGGTGCGGCAGGATGTGAGTTTGCAAGTATTTACGCTAATTTAGGACGAACCAAGGTTTCCCTTATAGATAAAGCCCCACGTATTCTACCTATGGAAGATGAAGATATTGCACTTTTTGTACAGAATCAACTTGAACGTCGTGGAGTGACGATGCATCATAATTGTACTCTCTTTGATCTTGAGTCTTGGGAAAAGGGAGAGAAAGGTGGTTGTATCTATAGTGTACGGCGTAATGATGAGGGTGGGGCAGTACACCCTGTGGAAACACATAGAGCGGAATTGGCATTATTATCAGTGGGTCGTGTACCGAATTTTTATGGTCTTGGACTTGAAAATACTTCTTGTAAAGTAAGCGATGGGGTCATTGTTGTAGATGCATTTAACCGTTGTGTTCCGCATAAACATATTTACGTCATTGGTGACGCTGCGGCAGATCGGGCACTAGTGAATTTGGGTGAGGCACAAGGACGTGGGGCTGTAGATCATATGTATAGTGAAAAGTTAGCGAGATCTATTAATTCATCTGTTTTAACCAACTTGACTACAGTTATGTTTCTTGAAGAGGAAGTGGCTTGTGTAGGACTTAACGAGCAGCAATGCCAACAACGCAATCTTAGTTACATGGTAGCTCGCTTTGACTATGAACACCTTAGCCGTGCTATTGCAATGGGTGAGACTGCAGGATTTTGTAAAGTCATTGTAACAAATGATCGAGAGAAACGACTGCTCGGAGTGCGTGCAGTTGGCGCTCATGCAGGAAGTATTGTGGAGGTGGCATCATTGGCTATACGTCGTATGGACTCTGTATATGGACTGCTACAATTAACAACATCATACCCCTCCGTGGTGCAGGGATTTTTGGAATGTATTCGTATGATTCTCGGTCGCTCTTCTGTAAAGCCAAATACAACTCCTAGAATGACGTTAAATATATGGCATCCATCACATTTTGAGCGTGGTCGAACGTATAGTGATGAGATGGAGAATGAAGCTCGATCATCAAAAGAGTGGAATACGGATAACAGACAGTATGAGTTGGAGATGGCTCGTATGAGGCACTCTGTGGTAGAAGATGTTCTGAGAGACCGTGCGGCTGCAGCTGCATCTGCTGCTGATAATAATAACAACAATAGTAAGTAATAGTGATAATGAGGTATCACAACAACAAGTTAAAAAAAAAGGAATAAGAATGACATCTCAGCTGCAATCTTGACAACCCCCTTCAACCACTGTGAACGTCTCGAATATATATATATGCATTCATATACGGATGCTTTTATGGATCATTTTATGTTTTTTTTTTTT